CCCTCCCTCCCTTTATCTTCGTGAGAACTAGGGAGGGTCCTGTCTGAGTCGCTTTCTCAAATTACATTTCTGCCCCAGACTCAGATTTCTTTTGTCTTAGTTGTGGTTCTTCCTCCTGTCCCTCAAGGTTCTTCCTTCTGTCCATTACAGATAAAGATTTAGCAAGTTCATCTTTCCTAAGTTTGCTCCTTAATTTAGGAAAGAGGACTACTAATTTCCAATCCTTAAAGCACCCAACTGCTTCAATAATCATTCTCAAAGAAGGAAATACTCAGCACAAACATACCCAGAGCTAAATCTGATTGAAATAATTCAATATATGAGGCCTCAAGGAAACTGAGCTTTCTTCCCCAAGAACTCAAGCGAAACACAAGTTTTGAGAAAATAGCAAGTGTCTGTACCATCAATTCTCTTTTGCATTTTGGAATCACATTGACTTTAAATCCTGGTATTACTATAAAGTTGAGTAAGGTTGGGTTAACAAGGTCAGTAATAGAGGTCACCCTAAATTGCCCTGAACCCAAAACATCCTGTTCTGACCTCACAGAAGTGCTGTGATTTCAAAACAGGCCATTTTGCACTTCTCTAGTAAATATTTTTTAAATATTTTGCACACCTCTAGTATTTAGGGCTTGTTTGGTTGTTTTTATATAGCCACTCAATTCAAAACAACTTGGGGGTGAGGTGGGGGGAATACAACAATTTTAAAAACCAAGATAAAACAACTGCCAGAAAACAAAACAAATAACAATAAAACATTTATTAAAATATCGCTCCGAGTTTAACTCAGTCAATGCCCTGGCTCAATTCTTGTGGGAACAGCCACATCTTTGCTGCCTTTCAAAAGGGTTGGGGGCTGTCTGGATTTTGGCGCATAAGGTGTTCCACTGGTCAGTGACGGAGAAGGCAGGCTTCCTGAGTCCCATCAGATGGCATTGCTTGATAGAAGGAATCTGAAGCATGCCAACTCTGTCCAATTTGTTGGGATGGGCAGGAATTAATAGGAGACAAATAACCTGCTAATAATCCAGTAATCCAAACAGGAAATGATTAAGGTATTAGTGACAGTGAGCAGAGTGCCTGCTTCAGGAATGGATGCAACTGATGCACAAGATAAATTTATGCAGAAGTCCTCTTGGCTGCAGCTGTCATCTGCTC